TCATAGACTTATACTATTAAGTATTACGTAAGTACCAAATTTTTTTACCTGATTACTACCCTGCTCTTGAGAATTAACACTCTTTAGAATATTTCCTTTATTTGATAACTGGGCCTGAAAAATAATAAATTTAATATATGCTCATATTTTATTACTTTATAAATCATAGTTCTTAGTATGTTCTTGTAGTTCTCATATATTGTTTGACTTACAGCTTTGTATTGAAAATAATCAGATTTACTCGAATCCATATTGTTATTTTTAATTATGAATGAATGAATTTATTTTCTCTTCACAATAGGTAAACTTAATGCTAAGTATTACAAATTTGCCAGACTGGTACCTAACTTGTGAGAAACTGGTGCCTGATGTAGATATAAAAACCTGTATTACAGGTTTATCTTATCTAAAAATTTTTAATTATCTTAAAACATAATCATCATACTTGATGCATATTTTAAATTGAACACTTAAGCAGTCGCTAATGGGTCTAATGGACCCAGTACTTAATATTTTGCTTAATAACTATTCAAAATCGACGTTTGCAATGTTTCAGCTCTTAGTACCTTTCAACAATAGTGTAGCATGGCAAATAACGACAATGGTAGTCAGTTAGTTTAAAAAGTGTCACTAGAATGTTGGAAAGTGTGATTTTCGTTCAAGGAAGATATTGTATTTTTGAATTTTATATTAAATATTTCTATGAAGATTGATCCCTCTTTATTTCTTGTAAGTAAATACATTATTGTGTAAGAAAATATATTAGATTTTGTTGGAAATAAGTAATTTGTTTGAAATTATAACGATTAGCCTTTAACATGTCACAAAACTCTAGAGAAATTTAGTATATTTTTGAAACAACTTTTGTTTAAGTAAAAACAATAAATATTAGTATTTGTTTCAATTATAGTTTTCTTTACACATATCATATCCTTATTAGAAAGTAACTATTTACGTTTATAAAGCAGTTTTGGAATAAACTTATATTATACTGGGTCCGGTGGACCTAGTAGCGAGTACTTGTGCTACAAATTAGGACATGACTCCCTAAGTGAATTTTCATGCACTGGGCCTATGCCTTATTTTGTTAAGAGTAATTGCAAGTTAACAATCTTAATTTCCAAATTTCGCAAAAAGTTTAAATGAATTCCACAAATACAATGTTTTAATCATAAATGTTTATAAAAATATTTTTTAATATGTAACAGTTTCCCTGTCTACAAAACACACAATAGTTAAACAATTGAAATGTTCATATATGATTCATAGGGCAGGGAAAGAGATGATAAAAAATATATGTAGTTTTTTTTATAAATATAAAGTAAATATCTATATTTTGGAAACTAACTAATATTATTTATGTCAAAATATGCATAATCAGTAATGTTAAGCATCAGTAATCACTTCTTCTAAAAGAACTACTAATCATATTTGCATAACAAATATTGCTTGTTGTACAAGTGTAACAAAACTAGAAACTTACAGCCGGAAAAATTGTTGGCACTGCATCATCACAAAGCCTAACTACATCAAGAGTTTTATTAATAGATTCCTTTGCAAAATGCAGGGAACATATGAAGTTTTGTTTATCTGTTGGGTTGATATTTTCTACACCAATAGAGTCAAGCCATATTTGTCTTTTCTTTTTGTTCTTTGGCAACCTAGAAATGATAGAACAGAAAATAATGATTTAGATCTATGAAGCTGCAAATAATATTACAAATTAAACAACACCATGGTTGTTATAAAAGGTGACTTAAGGTAAATTATAAATATGTATATGCTAAACATTTATGTATATTGCATTATTAGAAGGCACTGATGGGCTAATATATACAATATATAAGTAAACAATATATAATAAAGTCAAGTAATAATGTCCATAGTCTGAGGTATTTGCATGTTTGCCTACAGAGAGAGATTACTTACAGGCGCTAGATTGTACTTTATGTAATCTTTGTTGCTTTGCTTCACTTTTATTATGTAGGTACCGTAGGTCCTACCATGAATGTAACTCCGTTTCCGTATAATTTAGTTAATCATTTATGCTCACTGCTCAGACCCATGACACCGAAATAATGCAATGCATAACGCAAACGCAAAACTTTTGCACATAATACGACAGAATAAATCAAGAAAACCTTAATAAAGTATGTCCTTGAAACATTGAGTTACAATACCTATAGAGTCACAATCTCTAACTGACAATACTCAAAAAATGTCCGAGCGCCGTTCCATATACCTATATATTTTGATATTATATAGTTCAAAATGACATTTGCTCGAATTTAGACGTTAACCTGCTTGTATAATGTTCAAAGTCGCTCGTATGCAATGTCATCATCATTCACTCAAGGGCTTGCGTACGAGCAGGGAACAAGGCATCAGTGGAAGCAAATAAAAAAATGATAATAACGAAATATTTTTTAAAATCATACAATTTTATGACGTAAATTCACTACCTGCAAGCATACAACGTTAGTTTGTTGGCATATTTCTTCATCGTTCCCAAATTCATTATCAATCTGGAATAAATAAATAGGAATTAATTTTGCCTTTATATTTTATTATACGTACTTTATTTACGGCAATTATTTATTTTTAACTTACATCAAAAGACAATTCAATGCTATCTTCATTTTGTTTAATTGTTTGCTGATTGTTGTCGTGATCTAAGTTTACGTGAGTGTTGTCTTGATCTGAACTATCGTAACTTCTAAGTTGTTTTTTATTCAGCTGTAATAGAAATCATAGATCATACATTTATCTGCAAGACGTAAAATAAGCAATTTTTGAATAATGCACGCATTTTAAGAATACAAAATCGAAAGTTATAATAAAATATTACATTGTAAGCATTAAAAAGGAATAAGTTCTTACATGTAAAATGGGTTTTGCATTTTTGTTAAGCCTACTGAAACCTTTCGTTGTTGTATAAATGTCTGAAGCAGGAAAGTGATTAGAGCATACAACCGACCCTTTATATGGCTTGTAGTTTAATTCATTTCGGGCTTTTGCTATAATAACTGTCCATTCAGAGCATCTTATGGGGTTTCGAGGAAAACTAAAAACAAAAAAAAAACATATTGTAATTATACTTTAAAATAATAAAACTCTTTCGACCTACATTTTGTACGGAAAACTAAAAAATAAAACATTTAACAACATTGTAATATTAGTACATTAAGTTTAAAATCTGTAAAAATATTTATTGTATCAATCCACTCCATAGAACCGTTAGAACATAATTTGCGAGTCACTCTCGTACGCGTGACTATTTGTTTCTCTTTTACTCTTGCATATTTGTCTAACGTGTGAAAGAGAAACGTTATCGCGGCGCCGCGCGGTCGGCGGTGAGTGTTTTAGTTTGCTAATAAAATGAAAATTATTGAAATTTAAATGAAAACATGCACTGTGGATACATAAATACGTAAATTTGGTATGATACTTACCTAAAATATGAAACACCATCCTTTTTTCGCACGTGTCTGCTGTTATTTGGGCAGGAAATCACCGAACACTTTGGCATCGCGGACGTTGTACGAGGATTGTGGTCGCCTTACAACTAAACAAAAACTCTGCGCACTTCGCAGCGTGCGCCGAGTTTTGGCGCGGACATTTTATTTGTCTGTTTGTGACTCTATAGGTATTGTAACTCAATGCCTTGAAAGAATGTATTGTTAGCAATGTAACATCACTATTTACGAACAACAAAATTTTATAGATACGCAAAGAATGATAAGAAGTAAATAAATAATATGAATTAAAGGTTTAGGGTAAATAATTACATCCATCTACTTACTGTCGCAAAAGATATAAACGTTTTTACATTATATTTACACCAAAAACTAAATCACTCACCTATGAAATGATAGTTCGTGTGATTTTTGACTATATTTTGAGGTACAGCCTCTTACGCAACACTTAGTCATCTTCGTTCTTTATAATGAATTGGAAAATTCACTATAAACTGTTTAAAAATTCGCAAAATTTTCAAATTAAGAAATATCAAACGACTTTTTATAGCAGCAAATCTGAGACAATGGGTGCGTTTGGCAGAAAAAAGCGCTAGCAAGCGCTTGTAAGCAAAATGGCGATCGTAAGCGGTAAGCGCTGTCAAATCGTAAGTAGCTACTCGTATTTTCCTCTAGGACACGATGTTAGTTTTAACCGGGGAACCTAACCTAATTTAAATATATTTTTGTGAAGTATTCATATTAAAAACTTACCAATCATGAATTTTTAATAACATTTATATGTCTATTCATGTCATTATATTACTTAAAACTAATATTGCTCAAAACAACTTCAAAACAAACAAATTAAATATGCAAAATGGCGGATTGTGTCAGCGCTACTGAAGTAGCAATCGTGTCCTGGCCGAAAACTATTTCAGCGCTTGTAAGCGCTTGCTAGCGCTTTTTTCTGCCAAACGCACCCAATAAATGGCGGAATCGGCCGCAAGGCGGGGTTAAATGACGTCATCTTAAAAATGTTTACCAGAATGCGAAACAATTTCTATTATCTGTTTCATTTATGAATGACACTTAGACTTACACTTCGCTGAGTGAAAAAGAGATAGGCAGCATATTGACAGTTCAGTGTCGAATATAACCATATTTGTATAATCAATAAAACATATAGACGCTCTGGGCAGCTCCTCTATTTTCTATGCTCAAAGGTTCATAGTTACTCTAAGGCCAATGTCAAACACTTAATAGTCTATGGTAAAGCTGCCGCACAGAGTATGCATTTTTATGTCGCCAACAAATATTTACTCACAGATTAACTAAATAAGCTATAATTTTTTTAAGTAACAAGTTTTCCTTTTTGAACCGTATGTGGAGTGTATTTTAGGGCAAAAAAGCGTTTATCACATAACTCAAGAGTCACTCTTATTTCATGTATTGTTTTCAAGATATATGTGTTTTAATATTGTCGAATTTTGACCACTAGGTGACCACTAATCATTCTTATTGTGTTGGTAATTATTTTCACAGACGCCTCCAAAAGCCTACTCGAGAATCAGACGCAATTCGAACAAATGGGACAATGTATGACACCTGAGGGATGTAAGACCTTTGATTCGCTGAGTTATACACAGTAAGTTTATATCTAAAAAAAAAATATAATAGAAATAATTTTTATATAATATAGATTACAAGTAATACCACAACATAATAAGAAGTGAGTAATTCTTACTCTTACTGATGCTTTTTATTTAAAACTTTTGACTTGGATGCTTGTCCTTTAAGCCATGTCTTCATTTCATTCGGCTCCTTCGTTTTTATATTATTTTTTCTTCGCAATATGCCGAAGCGTCACATTGCCAAGTATTCAGGAGATTTGGACGACAGTTTAACCCCGCGTACAGAACTACTAGCGAACAAAATTACTCGAAAAACTTTTTAGAAAACGTTTACATACCGTTTAAAAAAGAGTAGGCTCTTTGGAAACTCGCTAGTGGTAGTCGATTCTACAATGAGTTTGAAGGAAAACATCGTGACGACTGCGTAAAATAGGAATACTTTTTTATAGAATAAGGATGACAAACATGCACACAGTTACATCTACCTGATGGTAAGTGAATTCTTTGGCCCATAGACATCTACATCTACCCTCATTTAAGAAAAAAAGTGCAGGACTAACATGGAATACCTTGTATGTTTCCAGTAAAAATGGTCTTCGGTTCTCTACATATGGAAAACAGCAGCATTAAGCTGCTATTTTATTCTTGTATTCTGTGAGAGCGCGGTCCTTCTGCGATCGAGCCGGTCCATTCATGTTACAACTACAATATAGCTGCAGCGTGGCTTTACCAAGTATATACTCCGAAGAGATGTAAAGTGCACCTTCACGCGCTGGAGAAACGTGACTGACCAATTGCTCCATAAATTTCAGAATTACAGGCGAGCGGAGAAAATGTATAATGCTGCTGTGTTTTGTATAATTAGTGCAGCAAGCTGGAGGCTCGGACCTTATCACACTGGCGATTTGCGAGGGAGTTCAAAGACAGGCGAGTACGCAGTGAGCTTGCTGCGAGTTCGCAATGAGCGCGTACTGAACACGTCGCGGGCGCGCAGTGAGCTCTTGGCATGCAATCTGCGTTTTGGACACTCAGTAACAGAATCGATTCTGACAAGGAAACGCTTCTGTTACAAAATGGCGTCGATAGCGCTATTCGCGCGGTGTCTTCGTGCGCTCGCTGCGGGCTCACGCCGAGCTCGCTGCGCACTCGCTTGTAAATCTCTAGTGGCAAGGCCGTAAGCGCACGTAGGTTAGAAATACGTAACCAGGTTTATACCATGCCACGGCACTGCCCGTTCGATTTAAATCGTATAAGTAGATGGATCCGACAATAATACAGACTCTAGTCCGGATGTATTTAAATTACTCAAACTGTATTAAGGGGGGGGGGTCATATTGTCGATCCAGTAAATATTATGATACTGGTAAAATAAATAAATGAGGGCATCATAATTGAAGAAACCACGAATCAAGTAAATCATTGCATCGCTGGAGACCCGTTGAGTCAAACCCCTGCAAAGGGCATGACAGGCAACATCAGTGGGCCATATTTTGGGACAGATTGGGGGATAAGTAACTTTAGTAATAAAATTCTAATTCTGACGTTGAATTTGTTTCAGAAAATTCAGTACATCAAAGCTAGATGACGCTGGTGAATTCCCAAAGAAGCAGGTAACGTTTTTTCCCTGTTCCAGCCCTGACTTATACCGAAATGTGTTAAATAAATAAAGAGTATTTAAGGGAACACAGGGAGTTCATAGTCAAGATAGTAACTACTCCAAAAATATGGTGTGTGTCAGGTCCGATGCTCAACTGGAGTTTACTCCTCAAGAACATTTAAACTAAATTAGTCACTTTTAAGCAGTGAAGCAGGCTATCTAGCGTCTATTTGTACCCGCGACGGAACGGTGAAACGTTCCCATTTATTTCCAAAACGGGTAGACCGATTTAGATACGGTTTACTGTTAAGGGTATATGACTCATTGGCCATGGTTCTTATATAAATGTTATGATATTAACTCACCAGGGGACACTGCAATAAACATTTGTGTGCAAATGAATGTTCCCATTTATCTCCAAAACTGTTGGAGCGATTTAGATACAGTTTACTGTATGGAACTCATCGGCAATGGTCCTTAGACAGATGTAATGATGTTTACTCGCCAGGGAGCGCTACAATAAATATTTTTGTGCAAATACGAATGTTCCCATTTATCTCCAAACAAATTCATCTACAAAAATATGGGACTCATCGGCAATGGCCCTTGACAAATGTTAAGGTGTTAACCCTTTAATTCCCATAAAAATCCCTCGCAGTCACATGTGTCCGACAAATCCCGAATGGTCGCATGCGACCGCACCCACCCACAGCACTTTAAACCCTTCCAATTTATATTTAGGGACTACTTTTCTATGAAGAAGTTTGGCATTATAAAATCTATACAAAATTTTCTATCCTGTGGTGTAAATAAAAGTCGGGTTTTACTTCATTACAAAAAGATTTTATTGTATTTTAATAACAAAAAAAACATACCAAGTGGATGTCGGAAGCGTGAAAATCACAATTATTTCTATATATATTATATAATTTTATAATAAAACACTATACTAAAACACTATTAAAACACTAGAAAAATCCAAAAAACAACGGAATAACATTCACACGAAAATGGCGTACGAAATGGACTTTGACTTTTGTGACTTTATTCCACTAGACTATAGTATATATATTTTATAATGCCAAACTTCTTCATAGAAAAGTAGTCTCTAAATATAAGTATTTATGGATTAAACTGCTGTGGGTGGATGCGGTCACGTTTGACCTCTTAAATTTTGACGGAATATCGAAGCGGTCAAATTTGTATGCTTGCCGTTTGAGAGGTTAACTCACTACGGGATTTAGATACGGTTTTCTGTAAAGGATATGTGACTCATCGGCGCCGGTTTTAGATAGGTTTCATGATATTAACTCCCTAGGGAACGCTGCAATAAAAAAATTGTGCAAACGTGTGTTCCTATTTATCTCTAAAACGTTTATACCGATTTAGATCTCTTCGAGATGTTGTTACTGCTGCCCGACTAAACGGTAAGACTTAGCGGGTTCGTGTCTTAAACTAATGAAAAATCAAAACAAAATAGCAGCCGTATCAATTTTGAAGAGTTTTAACTAGGCAAAAGTAAGGTGTAGTTTGGTGGTGCTCGAAAAAATGTTGTAGGGACCGACAAGTGTCAACTGCTGGCGATAAAAAATCAAGATGGCGGATCTAAGATAGCGATCAAATGAAAAAAAACAACAATGATGAAAAAACATAATGAAATGAACAAACTTAAAAACATGTCTAGCGATAACTTATAAATTAAAAGTAATTTTTAGTAAAAAACATTTTTAAAAGCGAACTTTTATTTAAATGATCTAAAAAGAAGATAATAAACTTTAAATTAAATCAAACACATCAATTTACTACATGACACAATTTATAGGATATGAAAGCTTGTCACGAGATTTAACTGTGCACATAAGCAAGAATACAATACCTGTGGAACTTGATATTAACATAAGTAATTCTAAGAATTTTTTTTATAAAATAAACAAATAGCTTATACTAGCCCATGCTCAGTTCTCCCACTAGTAAATTGTTATATAAATCAATAAAGTCCGCATCATTTTCCCGCCACGTGTTGAGTTTAAGTTCATAAAATCCAAAGATCTTACAGTTGTGGCACCCATTGAAATTGTGCAAGTAACTTGAAACAATAACTCCTTTTTACGGGTGGTAACTGATTCAAATCATCAAAATGAGAACATTTACACTACCAAGAAGAGACTCACTATATTTTAACTTCTAAAGCCTCAAATGAGTGTTTCACACGTTTCATATAGAACCATGGAAATCTTATCGACAGTTATTCAGCGAATGGCTCTCCATTTGCGTCTCATATCTTTTAGGCGTTGACCAGTTAACTGACGATGTGTGGTCGCTGAACCATTGTCGATACCTAGTTCAAATAATTAAAGAATGCACTGTGAAGTGTTCATTTATTCATGATGGATGAACGATGGATGACCATTCACAAGGCGACCTATTGCTCCGGTAAGGGCAGTGGCTTCAACAAAACATGGCTGAAGTAAAGCATATATCGTTTGGATATATTAAGATATTTTAATTCAAATAATACTAGTTTTTACGAATTTTATCGGGTATATTTAACTTTTTAAATACCCGACGTTTCGAGCTTTTTACAGCACCCACGTTCATAAAATCCGTATGGCGATAAAATCCGTAAAAACTAGTATTATTTAAATGTGTAGTGTTCGCGTAAATTATCTTTTAATTTGCACAACAATTGTTCTCAGAGTAAAAGTGTTACCAAATCTTGCCCCTTCTGTTGTTAATAATTTCATTGTATCATCCAGTGGCTCTCGGTTTCGTAGCTTTTAGTAATGCCTACGTTACTCTCTAAAAGTCTAAAATAAAAAACAGAATTAAAAATTTTGAAAATTCTCACGACGGATATAAAGGTTATAATCGAAAAAGGATTAAATGAAATCTTTGAAGAACCCTCAACTAAAAGGATAGGTCACGAAATATAAAATAAAAGTGTTAAAAAAGGGTTGATTTGTCGTGAGGTCTGGTCATAACAAACAACTAGCTATGACTTTCCTTAGTCGTTCCTACTTTTCTGTACCTGTTTGTATATCGCAGCGACAAACACAGCAATAAAATCAAATATAGGTACTACACACATTCACTTACTTATTCATCATCATCATCATCATCATTACAGCCCTTTACAAGTACACTGCTGAACATAGGCCTCCCCCAAGATATGCCACAAAGCACGGTCCTGAGGCACATGCATCTATCGACTTCCTGCATGTCTTACTAGGTCGTCACTCCATCTAGTCGGGGGTCGCCCTACACTTCGCCTACCATTATGAGGCTGCCACTCGAGAACCTTTTCTTCCCAACGGTTGTCGGTTCTTCGAGCTATATGGCCGGACCATTGCCACTTCAGCGTACTAATCCGTTGGGCTATGTCGGTCACTCTGGTTCTACTGCGGATATCCTCATTTCTAAGTTTATCATGCAGATAAAATCCCGAGCGTAGCAATGAAGGGCCACGTCTTACCTATTAGGTAATATAATTACAAAGCCAAAATAATCCGTATTACTTAGATATTAAAACAAAACCAAGATATTTCACTTTCTCCGCTCAGAATTCGCTCTATTGTGGGAAGTCAGAATGAGTTAAAAATTTTGAGAGTCATACCTTAATGCATGGTTGTGAAAGTTGTAAGTAGGAGAATAAAAACGAGAGTAGAATAAACTCTGCAGGTGACGCGGAATGACAGGCTAAGAAAATTTTTGATAAGAGGAAAGTGTCGTTTTCAAGATGAAGTTATGAGCACGATTAAGAAAGGAAAATGCTTCAATGGTTTGGTGATGTAGAAAGAATGAATAAGAAAAGAGTGAATAATCAAATTAATGCTGCACAAGCGAGTGGCCAAATAGGCAAGAGACGCTCTAGATGAAAGTTTACTGACCAGAACAGAGATATAGAAATAGAAACTTTTTTATTCAACATAGACTATAAATACTATACTACTTATTGAAAGTTACTCCTTGTAAGAACCTGAAAGAAACCCAGCGGGACTTTGTTTAAAAGAAATAACAGCTTACAATCATGTATGCTACATACAAAACAGCAAAAAACAAATTAGAAATAGCTTGGTAGCGGTCACTTTCCCGGGGGTTATTATCATCCATAAATTCCTGAATATTATAATAACCCTTTTTATGCAAACTTAATTTAATAGAGTTTTTGAACTATGTATAGGTCAAATTTTGTATATTTCTATATTGAAAACGGGCAAAATTATGGATTCCCTTAACCAGCGAGTATGTATGTTATATGGATGTGAAGGAGGCGAGAGAGGTGTGTCAGGATTTTACAAAAATTGAAGTCCATTGTCTCTGCCTATTCCTTAAGGTGACAGGCGTGAGTGTTTATGTTATGTTATATAAAAACAGAAACAGAAGTCATTTGTTTTAATATCCTACCGTTAAGAGAAAGAAATTCTGTCATTAGGAAGTATAAAAGATTTTTTTCTTCTTTCTCGTTTTTTATTTTTTCTCTTTTTTTATTTTTTGTTTCTACGCTTTTATAATTTTCCTTTAGAACGAAACTTGCGGACGGCGAAATCCTTCTGGCTTCGACACCCGCATCGTGTCTGACTCCGATGCGACGCACTTCGGTGAATTCCCTTGGATGATCGGTGTGCTCCAGTAAGTGTCACGAATTACACATCAGCTGTCAGGTCTAGGGTTGCCATCATTTTACCCGGCTACCCCAGAAGCAGGGTAATGTTTTTCGGGTATATGTAAGTATGTATATCTATTTCTTTGGAATGAGTTATTAAAAAAAACTGTGATTGCATTCCCGCCTGCTAAGCGTGACTAGGGATGCCAGATGTGTTCAAAGAAAAAACCGGACAAGTTTTTATTTGTTTTCATTTCTTACAAAAAATGTACTTTAGTACAAAAAATAAAAAAATAAAAAAGTGAACTTAAATGTACTTTTGTAATGTACTTTGTGTACTGGAAACTTACTTACTAAACCACAGCCATTCTACTTTTTTATATTTAGAACTCCGAATGCTTTTAATAAAGTCTTATTGCCTGAGACGGCATCTTTAAATTCAGTGCAACTAACATTTATATTAAAGAAAACGCACAATTCACTTTTTACAGTTCGTAAGGCGAGACGATCTCTTTCATCGGTCCATACATTTCCCTTGACGCTGAAGATTCGTTCCATAAAAGCGTTAGATATGGAAATACTACACACATACCTTACGATTTTCGATAAATTTGGCGTTGCTTCGTTGTTAAAAAATTTGCCTACGTAACGCTCGTGCTGTTCATTAGAAATAATGAACGGTTATTTTACTGTATCGTACAATCTAATGTCCGGTTTACCAAGAATTTTGTGACCGGACAAGCATAAAGAAAATCGGATTGTCCGGTCGAAAACCGGACATCTGGTATCCCTAAGCGTGACAGCTGTGGAAAAATCCCCCTGAAGCAATCTATGCGGGGGCACGTGTTGAACTGCTGCTTAACTTTTAGAGGCTATAATGAATGAATGGACGGATGAGTCACTTTAGTCTGAAAGTGTTACTTGACCACAAAGCCAAATAACCTAATAAATAATTCCTCTTCTCTACCCCTTGGGCAGTTGCTTGTTATATGGGGCCCAGCACAGCGGACCCACTTTAATGACCTGAAGCAGTTGGCAGATGCAAGGCCAAAGACCTGGCAGTGGTGGCATTGTACCGGACCCGCTCGTCCTTGCCAGGCCTCTAAGACTACTCCAACCGGGTTGGTCTGGTTCGGTCTGGTTGACCGAACTTCGGTCACGGCGACCAGTCTCAACGAGACAGGACTCAGAACACGATTATAATGCCGTGTATCGCTAGCACAAGTGCACTCTCTATTCCCTCACTCTCATAGTCCGATTGAACGGTAATCCTACACGACAAGAGAGAAATCAGGCTTAGGATCAACGGCTTGACGAGCTCTTGAGGCACGGGGGTGAAACACCACCTTCGTCCTGACTCCGGGCTGCTACTGGGGATTTCTTGACGGGAAAACCCTAATTTTGGTCCAGCCTGGGATCCAAACCCAAGACCTTATGATCAGCAACTGCGTTTACGACCACTACACCAACGAGGCAGTTTCTCTCACGCATATTGCTCCCTCTCTTTCTCCCTCTCGTTCTCTCGATTTTAGCAGACTACTAAAAGGAGACTATAAAGAAGAGAAACGATTGCTGCATATCATAGTCCACATCTGAACATATCCCCCCCCCCATGGATTGCCACAGTTGCCACACTTGGCAAGCGAGTTGGCAACCACAGTATTTTTTTAATTTTACGTCGTTATTAGGAAGACGCTGCTATACATCTCCTGATTAGTTTTCCTCTATCGGTTCTTACGACACCCCCGGAACGATATCGGGTAGTGGAATTCCACATATTACCTTCGGAAGTAGTGACCACATTGTCTCTTGGCACCAATTTCAGTACGTGAAATTATTTTATTACTTTTTAATTCTTTGCGCGCCTTTTATTTTAATTGCAAGTTAAATTTTTATTATGATTTAATGTATGGCTACAAGAAGTTGAGTTTCACGATTTTATTTTATTTTACCTATACTCCTTTAAAAAAAAATGCTTTAATGCAATTTCTCCATAGAATAAGGGTGACAAACGTACATACACTCCACCTGATAGTAATGTGGATGCTGTGGCACATAGACATCTATATTTATCCTCAATTAAGAATTAAAATTCGTAGTCACCTGCAGTTATATTAATATTATAGTTATAGCACGAATTGGTCGGCTTGACCGGGGAATGACCACGCTCTCATAGAATACCAGCGTAAAATAGTAGCTTAATGCCGCTGTGTTTCGTATGGTGAGTGTAGAGAACCGGATACCCGTTTTACTGGAAACGAGGCATTGCACCTTAGTCCTCACGGGTGACAACGCATCCTCATTTTGATTCGTAATCGAAGATAAATGTAGGTGTCTATGGGCAACAGCAACCACTTAACATCAGGTGGACTGTGTGCTCGTTTGTTACCCTATCCCATAAAAAAATACAGGGACTCCGGTTCTTTACATTCACCTTATGGAACACAGCAGCATAAGGCTGCTATTATACGCTGGTATTCTGTGAGAGCGTGGTCTAACCCCGGTCGATCTGACCTATTCGAACTACAACCACAATATGGCTCTACCACGTAAAAATTGTATGTTAAAATATAAATTGAATCTAAAATGACCTACACTACAATTGACGGATTTTATATTAAAAATTATAATCAGGGCTATACCCTATGACGAGAGTGAACCAAACGGCAAGAAAATATTGGCGTACACCTGCGGAGGTTCCCTCATACACCCTCGTGTAGTGATGACCACCGCTCATCATATTGACAAGAACATGACCCTCAAGATCCGGGCTGGCGAATGGGACATAAGCAGTAAGACGGAACTTTATCCACACCAAGACAGAAACGTCGATAAAGTTATCATTCATGAAATGTACAGCAACACTAGAGGCAAGTCGCTTAAGTATTTATACCCGTTTCCTATATCTAAAAAACGTTTCGTTCTCCATTACTCAGTGATAAATCAGTACTTAAAATGCAAGTAATAAAATCATTGGTAGTGTCAAGTTTACGGCAAGCACTTAGTACGGCAACTCTGAGTCGTGTAGTTAAGAAAACTTCTTCATTTTTGTAACAACTAAACAGTGGGTAGTTTAAATTAATAAAATCAAATCAAATCTGTTTATTTTGTGAAAATAGTTTAATGAAGGCAAACAAAAAGGTTAAAACCTCTTACGAATTAACTCTATCGAGCACACTATCTGACGCAGAGAGCCCTTCTGTGTCATTATGTTAGAAATTTCTCTTATATCATAGATTTTGTTCTTATTACTATTCGCCAATTAAGAGAGGTAAAGGTTTTATACCATACAGCCTTCTCTGATTTGTATTTTGTTCATAAAATTTCTTACGTCATGCATCATATTGCAAAGTTTGTGGGAGATTTTGACGACAACTTAACTTGGCGGATGGTTGATGACGATAATGTCTCAAGATTCCTAATCGGATAGAAAACCTGAGATTTGTACCACCATCGAAATACTTGTTGCATCGTTTCCACAAATAGTTTATATGTGCTGACATTTTATACACAAAATCGCACCACATTATCTTATCAAAACCTACTTTTAACCATAATTTAAAAGATAAAACAGGAGCAGCAATTCGTTGGCTGTCAAGTTTTAAAATAAATTAAATTACAAACCGACAAACAAATTGTGGCGGCGCAAGCGAATTGCAATGAAGAATAAATCGCGTCATCAAAGTTCCGAAATACTGTAGAAATATAGAATAGCTCCAATCTATCACGTGGAGCGTTGGTCGCTCACAGGTCTGAACACCTTGCCCAGTGAAGGGTCTCCCCTTTTTCTTTCACCGGCCAAAGGCCCTTACTTATCGCAACCAAGCACTTTTATACTAGCTAGTGAGAGTGACAAACGGATGTCATCCACCTGATGTTGTAGCCCACAAACCGTCTCCCCATAGATTGTTTTATAAGGGGGATATTTGTCGTAGTTGGCACCACTTGGCAAGCGGTTTGGCAACGGCAGTTTTTTTTTTAATTTTGAGACGCTATTACGACTATTAGGAAGACGCTGCTGCCCATTTCCTGATTCGTTTCCCTCTGTCGCCTCTTACGACACCCACCGGATGATACGGGGTAGTGGGTATTCTTACGCCGTCACTACACGGCTTAAAAACTACACATGTGACATTCTGAAGTCGTGACATTATTTATTTTTTACACTAAACCTCGTATCGAGTAGTTGACTTACACGACGCCTATTCTCGAAGGCTTACCAATTTTCTACAAACACAACGGCATTACGACACTATTTAACGCTGGTTTACTACGCTACTCTTAAAATTAGAATTGTTCCGCAGGGAATTTGCATTACGATATTGCACTACTAATTCTGGACAAACCGGTGAAACTTCAACCTCACATCAGTACGATCTGCTTGCCACCACCAATGCTGAGACCGCCGGCTGGGACTCGATGCTTGTCCTCTGGGTGGGGGAAGAAGAAGTTTGGACAAGGGGAGACGCTGCAAGTTATTCTTAAAAAGGTGATTTACTGTTTTATTAATTCTTATTAGAGTTACGACGGCAGTTTAATAGCCTAGGGTGTGGACAGCACTTTACGTGGTACGTCTTTACGTGTTAGAGCAAGTTACGTCGTAAGTGGCATGTAGATTCAGTAGCCCATAGACATTTAAATTTAATCTCAAATTAGGAATCAAAATGCAGATGCGATGTCACCCCTGGGGACTGAAATGGAATACCTCATTTCCAGTAAAAACGATCTTCGATTCTCTACACTCACTATACGAAACACGGCAGCATTAAGCTGCTATTATACGCTGATATTCTATAAGAGCGTGGTCATACCCAGGTTGTGCAGACACATTCGCGCAGTAACTATAATTCAACTCCAGGGTGAATCTACTACGATAAGTTTTAGTCAAATTTAACAAAATCATTAACTTAGTCTATGTGATTTTCCCCACAGGTAGAACTGCCAGTAGTGGACCGGAAAATATGTCAAGATATATTCCGTACTACTCGCCTTGGGCCATTCTTCAATATGCATCAGAGTTTCATGTGTGCTGGCGGGGAGCTCGGGAGAGATACGTGCAAAGGCGACGGAGGCTCACCACTTGCCTGCCCCGTACCAGTTAGTAATGAAAATCATAACCATAAGTTCCTTCAGATTCTTCATCGTGACCATCAGCCAGCGAGGGTCCACTGGATATGAGCCTCTCCCGGTGAAGCGAGGAATTCTCTTAATGGTCACTTGGCAGACAAGACATTAATAAACACTTACATTTCGTAGATTTATGCAATCACTACACTGTTGGAGATATAAAAAAAATATTTCGAAGACATGTGAAGTAAGTCAACACACATTGAGGCCGCGTGGCGGACACTTCCTTGCACTAAAACCCTCTCAGAAATGAGAGGAGGCCGGTGCCCAGCTGTGGGACGTATGTAGGCTGTAACTTTTTTTAAATAGAATAAAGGTGACAAACGGGCACACAGTCCACCTGATGGAAAGTGGATGCTGTGGCCCATAGACATTTATCGCGTTTCATTAAAGTCCTTCACAAGTCCAATGCTGAACATAGGCCTCACCAAAGGAATTCCCAGTAAAGCAAAGCAAATCACGGTGCTGAGTCACCTGCATCCATTGACTTGCTGCATGTCTTACCAGGTCGTCACTCCACCTAGTGGGGGTCCGTCCTACAATACGCCCACCAGTATGAGGCTGCAACTCGGTAACTTTTTTTCACCATCGGTTGTCGGTTCTTCAAGCTATGTGGCCGGCCCACTGCCACTTCAGCTTACTAATTCGTTAGCCTATGTCGGTCATTCTGGTTCTACTGCGGATATCTTCATTTTTAAGTCTATCACACAGAGAAACCCCGAGCATAGCCATAACTCGCTGAGCAACCTTTAGCGTCCTCATACGGCCAGCAGTGAATGACCACGTCTCAGATCCATAGGTCATCACTGACAACACACACTGGTTGTATAATCTAGTTTTGACAAGTTGAACTGCCTGACGAGAAGATGTGTCGCAATCTTCCGAACGCTGCCCAGCCGAGTTGAATTGTTCGATTGACCTCTCGGTCGAAGTTGGACTTATCTAGTTGGACTACTTGTCTCAGGTAAACATACTCGTCAACAACTTCGAGCATAGTGCTCCCGAGAACCACCGGCATAGGTGTGACATGGACGTTACACGTAACTTTCTTTTTGTCCATGTTCATCTTTAGACCTATCCTTTGAGAGACACTATTGAGGTCATTGAGCATAGTGCTTAGGTCCTCCAGTGATTCTGCCATAAGAATTACATCGTCGACTAATCAAAGGTGAGTGATGTACTCGCCATTGATGTTAATACCGTATCCTTTCCGGTTCAGTAGCTTGAAAACGTCTTCCAATGCAGCGGACTTTTAGCACCCCCTGCCCCGCCGTTACCATGGTCGCCACCGTAGCCAGGAATAGCGGAGCCCCAGGGGACTGGGGCCGTTTATACGTGTCGTTGCTCAAGGTTATACTCCATATTGCCGTAGTTACCACGCATGGCGAACGGGTTGACAACCGCAGTTTTTTTGTTGTATAGTTGCTGCTAGCAGGAAGATGCTGCTGCCCATCTCCTGCCTGTCTCCCTCTGTCGCCTCTTACGACACCCACGGGAAGACATGGGTCAGTGGATATTCTTAACCACCACTACAAGGCATATCGCGTTTAATTTTAACTATTTAACTCCCGACGTTTCGAGTGCACAAATGTTCACGAGGTGGTACTCACGTCCTGATGTCATACTTAACTCGAATACCTTCAGTTTATGAAGATTAATTTTTGTCTCATCTACGTAGAACGAGCTTACAGTATCTTGAAATCTTGCAGTGGTTGGATTTGAAAACAAAAATTAATATTCAAAAACTGATTGTAACTCGGCTAGCTCTTCCACAATTGTTTCACTTCACATAATTAACTAGCTAATATCCTTATACAGTAATCGTAAATAACATACCACCTATTGAGCCACTACAAGCAAAAATGTCTGTCCCATCTACTAAATCAGTCTCTCCACGTAGTGGTCCACTACAAATTAACTTCAGCAAAAAAACGCGGACCACTATCTCCTCCAGACCGAATTTCAGTCACGACGGCAAGTCTCAATGGAGACTAGCTATCTGCGCAGGACAGGATTATAGTGCCGAAGTGTATGCGCAAGCACAGGTGCACTCTCTATTCCCTCACTGTTATAGTCTGATGGAGTTGTAATCCGACACGACCGGAGTGAGATCAGGTACAGGCTTTACGCGCTTTCCAAGATACGGAGGTAAAAACATCACCATGAGGTGCACGACGAGATTAACGTGCCCAAGTGTATGCGCAAGCGCAGGTGCACTCTCTATTCCCTCACTGTTATAGTCTGATGGAGTTGTAATTCGACACGACCGGAGTGAGATCAGGTGCAGGCTTTACGCGCTTTCCAAGATACGGAGCTAAAAACATCACCATGAGGTGCACGACGAGATTAACGTGCCCAAGTGTATGCGCAAGCACAGGTGCATTCTCTATTCCCTCACTTTCATAGTCCGATGGGGCAGTCATCCGACACGAGCGGAGAGAGATCAGGTGCAGACCCAACGTGTTTACGTGCTTTTCGAGGCACTGGGGTAAGAATCCGCCAACTTCTTGACTCCTGGCGGCTATTGAGAAATTTTCGACGGCAATACTCAATAACATGACTTTTTTGTCCGAGCCGAGACTCGAACCCAGGACTCATGATTAGCTGTGGCCTTTACATCTACTAGACCAACGAGGCACTCAAAAATATCAATGCTAGATCCCTTTGCACATGTGATTGAATCCAACCTTCATGCACACTACTAGACCAACGAGGCACTCAAAAAATATCAGTGCTAAATCCCTTTGTACTTCTAGTTTATTTAATTCAACCATATTTTAAGACCTAATTTGTACTGCCCGTTCTCAGTTACAGGACAACCGTTACATGGCGAACGGCATGGTGGCTTGGGGCCTGGGCTGCGGGGACTCTTACCCTGCAGTGTATGTGGACGTGGGCTTCCTGCGCAATTGGATCGATGAGAAGATGAAAGCAGAAGGTTTCGAAACTGACACTTATACGTATTGAAAATATAAAAAATAAATGACAATTTGTGAGTTTTATTTGAGTAATCTGTTTATGTAACACACACTAGAAGGTGCCGACTTGGTAACACAGTGTCCATATTGGCTGTCTCGCTAAGGGTTGCAGATTCGATTCCGAGATAAATAACCATAAATTTTGTCTGTCCGGACTAATCTTTGAAATGACAGAACCAATTTTAATAAAAATTTATGAACATGTATAGAGCAAAATCTAGTCAATGACCTCTATATCTATATATACAATTCGCTGGACTGGCTATACACCGTGACGTAGTGAGGCGATTTTATTGTCACCATTTTGGCGCTGATAACAGTAGTGAGCGTTCATGAAACTAATAATAGAATACGATAATGTAAAAAATATATCGATAAAAATTCAATCGCTGCTCGTAACGTACATTTTACTTATGTATCATTTGAATATAATGTCATATAATGAATAAATGTATCAATTAATACTTATATTTTAGACACAAGCTTTGTACCTCATATAAAATAAAAATTAACGCTGCGTTAGTTTATCTACGTTTTTATTCGTAACTTTAGAACGGGTTTTATTCCGGGTTGCACCGTTGGGTATGTATGTTTCAATTAAGAGGTTTAAAAAGGTTAAAAAGGTTTGTACTAGAGAAAATCAATAAGCTGCCAAAGTAATGCCTATTTCAACAATATAAAGACACAATTAGAATTTTACAAACTTTAAATTACATTAAAGAATACTATGACTGTAGACAGTGCTTTTTCGACCCTGTCAATAACACTGATCAGGGCTGTTTCCGTAGATTTGCCTCTGCGGTAAGCATGCTGGTTGTAATGTATGGGCCTCGTAGCTAGACCTACATCCCTTATATATCTATCTATAACCTTTTTCAATGTCTTAAGGAGAAAGGAAGATAGGCTTATAGGTCGAAAGGACTTTGGTAAAGCGTAGTCCTTTCTACCAGCCTTAGGTATAAATAGAACTTTGACAATTGTCCATCGTTCTGGAATATATCCCCAGGCAAAACTTGCTCAGAAGATTTTCACCAGATAGGGAAGAAGGATGTCAATACCCATCTGCAGTTGGATGGGAATTATTCCATCCTTCCCGCTTGTTTTAAATGGTTTAAAGGAGTCAACAACCCATTGCACCAGGTTTGGCCTTATTATCTTTGCAACCCTACACCAGTCTTCATTACAAGGCCTTCGTAGGGCTCTGAAAGAATTTAAGGCTGAGGTCCTGAGTGACCCTGGGAAATGGGTTGACGCTAGTAACTCCAATGTTTTTTTTTCACTATTAGTGAAGTTACCATCAGGCTTTTTAAGAAGCCCGATCTGGTTTGGTTTCGCTTTCGATAGCATTTTGTGTAGTCTTGCACTGCGAGGCAAAGACTCAACTTCCTCGCATAGCTTCCTCCACGATGCTCTCTTGGCTTTCCTAATTTCTTTATTATATTTAGTTAGGGCTGCACTATAAATATCCCAATCTTTGGTTTTCTTAGCCAAAACGAAATATATACTATAAATATGTACTACCCGAATTGTCTTGGTCTCGGGTAGGCACCGTTTGCGACTGTACTCCCTCCAGCCACGCATCCATCGGCACGGTACGCTTGACACCTTGGATTGGGCTAGGATGGGAAATAGGGGGTGGGATAAAAGATAAGAGGATCGTCTGAGTTTTTCAGTTCTGTCTGTTTCCTATTGAACCAGACCAAATAACAGGCGGCAACCACGTGAAGGAAGAACTCCTCAGACTTGCCCTGGGGATCAACACGACCTGCGCTCTCCCCCAGAGCCATTCGCCAAACTGCTCGCTGGACAGGAGAGCAGAATAGGTGTTAATCTAGTCGTACTGATAATATCAAAAAGTTAGGAGTAGACTAACCCCCGCCCACATAATCAATAATCAATTAGCTTCGGATGCCAATTCATGAGTTTTCGTATAATCAGCATTGACCTATACTATATTACTTTGAAATCATTGATAATCTGTTGAAAACTTATAAATTAATAAATATTTAATAATTATCTGTTGTCAACGACTTTCTTGTTGTAAACAGATATAGGTAAAAAACATCTATAAGTATTATCGACAACCATATTGTATTTTATCGAAAATAGGTGGTTTAAAGCAAAACAAGTTCAATATGATAAGTAAAATTTGATAATATAAGCTCACAATTATCTGTTAAGTTTCTATATTATCCAAAAAAAATTATTTTTTTAACATAAAAATGTAAATCCCCTTACTTGTGAAATGTTCTTTTATTTCTGGTAACGAGTTTTATAAATCAGACACACTATTATTGTTAGTAAAAATACTTTTTATTATGCTACATAATAACATGAAAAAAGCGAACTACACAACATACTTGCTTTTTTTCCTTTGAATCTTTAAAATGCTCTTAGACGTTTTAAGTAACATAACGGCCAATTTCAAATTATGTCATATTTAGTTCCCGGTACACTCGATGGTGGCGCCTCGAATCGGCACAAACGTTCGGTATGGTATAGCCGGTCCAGCGTAGTATCATAGTACGGAGTTTAGTGCGTCAAACTAATAACATACATAAGTATCTATGCCTGTACTTTCTGATATTGGCAGTATAAACCTCATCAAACGACGTACTCGACTCGTGTATCCAAGCAACTTGACATTGGCAGTCTGAACATAAACGAGCGTATTTTATTTGTAAATACATATATTAGTAACGGATTTGTTGCATTATGTGCGTTATTAGTGAAACCCCTGGCTACTCGAAGCCTAAATTTCTGTAAGCGTTCTTACAGATTTTGGTTAACCTCTAGATCTCCGGCTTCAGACACGTTCGCTATTGGTACCTCGTTACTTTGGTATTGATACGTAACTGGAGATAGTGCATGGCTGAAATTCATGGTTTTGCACTTCGTTAAATTGTAAATTATTATGTTTCCTCCAGATTACAACCCTATCTATATCTTGTTTTAACTTTTGCCATTTCTCTCTGTAAAGATATTAAAATTTAATTCGCAACCATCCGCATAATTAAATACAATGATGTGTCTTACCTGGATTGAAGAGCACCTTCCGCCCACCCTCAATTGCATGCACTAATCCCGTCACCACTAGTCCCAGCACTACTACTCCTAACACCACCACTCCCGGCATCACTACTCTCAACACCACTATTCCAGGAAAGACACACCATCAACGGTAATACGACACGTGTTTCGCCTCTACACTTCTTTAGGTGGTGTAGACTCTACGGCGGCTGACCGCTAAGTCCTGGAATAGTGGTATTGAGAGTAGTGGTGCCGGGAGTAGTAGTGTCGGGAGTAGTGAATGCAATTAAGGGAGGGCGGCAGGTGCTCTTCGATCCAGGTAAGACACATCATTTTGTTCTATTTAGCAGATGGTTGCAAAATTACCATTAATATCTTTATTATAAAGAATTTCCGCAAAGTAACGTCTGATTCTATCAATTATTTCTCTTTGTACTTATCAGCAATATACACTTTTAGATCATCTGCAAATGGAGTTCAATGAGCATCTTTGACAACCGTCGGAACATCATTTATCATTAATATGAATTCCAACGGACCGAGGTTGCTGCTCTGACTTACTCCGGAACTCCGGATAATATAATTTTCTGACCTACGCCTTGCATATTTTCCATAATTCTGTCCGTCCCGCAAGTAACTAACAAAAAAGGTTAATAAATGAGAAGTAAACCCTACACCTTTCAGTTTTGTGGGTAGTATATCGTTATCCACTAGATCGAAATCTCTTTTGTGGTTAACGAAAGCTACATCTTCCTTTAGGTACAATATAACTCATGTAATTTATTAGGTTGCTGGTGGTGCTCCTGGCGGTTCTAAAATAATGTTACTAGTAGATAACACTTTATACTATTCTAACTCAAACAGTAAAAACTAATACTGTTTGGGTACCCGTGACTTGCTTGCGTAAACGCAATTGCTGATTAGTAGTCCCGCATCAGAACAAGAAACCGCGGATCAACGAGGTTGTTCAAAACAAATAAATTATTAACAAAAATCCTGTCCGAACAAAATCGCGGACACAGCTAGTAACAAATATTTGAATGACCTACCACTGTGTCACAGTTTTTAATGGCGGGGGGACGCGAGTGGCACGGTAAATATGCCACGCAGTTGTATTTTTATTTAAAATATTAATAGTTTACAAAGCAAAAAACAAAAAACCATTATTTGGCAGAAGTTAAAAAAGGTTTTTTATAACGCAAACGTGTAACAAAAATACAATAAACATGTTACAGTTACGATTGATGCGTAATTTTTTCTAATACACCAATTGTTACACATATTTGTAACCATTTTAATTATTTATCTCATGAAATTAAGTGACTATTTTTTGGATATAGTATTTGGTATTATTTAAAACTCCATAGTCAAAGGTAAAAAACTAAAAGAAGGGTGTGGACAGTGCCGGGAACGTTTTTAATAAAAAAAATTATTTACCAAATTAAAACGTAATACCTTGATATGTTGTGATAAGTTGTCTAAATTTTCTGGTTTATGGTTTCATCCGTTATTTTGCGTAAATAATTTGTAATTGTTATTCACTTGTGAATTATATTTATGATATTTTCACTGGTTTTTTTTACCGACCGACCGACCTTTTTGGGCCGACCCATTAATGCTACAACCATAGTATAGCTGCAACGTGGCTCTACCACATAGGTATGATTCTTCTTTTCAAAGTGTTCACCTCACCGTTCATTAACGAGATTTTTACGTACCACGCAAAAAATGGAACTCAAACATTGAATAAACGATGGAACTACTCCTAACTCGAACATTTGAGTTTAACTTGCTTGGTTAATAGCATTATTAGTATTTTTTTAAAAGAATAGTAATCCTATACCTTTAAACGAGCAATTCTTGTATACATATATACCAGGCGGTCCCATAATGAACTGGCCTGATATAGTTGACAAATCAACACACAGCGACATGTCACTACATGTTGTGTTGCATTAA